AAATAGTTCAATACACAACAAAACAGGGTTGGAAGTTTCTTCTGAATGTTTTTTCCAGGTGCAGGAAGCTTGAAGGTCAAATTTACTGGGAAGTTTTGGTTCTTTGGGTGAATATATATTGCCTAAACCCGTTATAGTGCACTCACTGCAGTGAAATACTTTTGGAAACCAGGACAAAACTTTATTACCTTTATAACATTCAGAAAATATGGATATTTACTTGTGTTCTTGTGTGTATCAGTTAGCTGGACGTGGCTAACTAAAGATGCATCAGTATGGAACCAGATTCAGTTGGTATGATGAGGGTTTCTGATGTGAGGTTTACGAGCTGATGTTCCCACATCCTTCTCACCCGTATTTACTTTGCAGAACACAAACTGTTTACACTAGAAACAAACGAGGAACTGAATTCACACAAAGCACCAGAGAAATAAGGTGGATATTTGCTGATACCAACTCGATCAGAGCAGAAACTCAGAATCTCCCTTTCATCCATTTCAGCTGTGTGCAGTAAAATAACTCAAAAATGGATCTGTAGACATCAGAGCGTGTAAATGTAAGTCTCATTTTACGCGTTTAAAAGTAATGAACACGGGTCAAAACTCGAATCAGAAATGAACAAGAATCTGCAAACCTGATGAAGCCGTAACACTCCCTTCCAGGTGGTGGCAGTAATGAACCTAAAGGATTGTTTATCAACCACCTTAAAATGTAAATTTGGGATTAGCTCTTGTAGTTGGCAAAGCTAACACTGCTAAGCTTTTATTCCCACTGATCGGATTAATCCCAAATTCACGCTCATTTATTGACTTAAATACGGAAGCCCAGAGGGGGCGTGTCCTTCTGTTAATTTTTCATGGTGGTGAAAAGCCATTTTTTCGTTATAACAAGATGATTGGTGTGTCTTAAAACTGATTACATCCTTCAAGACCACAACAGCAACAAATGTAGACACGTCCATATGTCTTTATATCGGCAGTGATATTACTCCGTACATAACAGCTCAGAAAGGCTCTTCAGACACTGCACACGTTTCCTCCTACAAAATTTAACTGATCTAAATATTTATTGCAGTGAAGGAGGCAGACATGGGCATCCTTTGTCCTTTAAAAACTCAAAATAAAAAATTCCAAAAAGCGATGCATAATAAAAAGTATTTATATCTGATGAGGTAGAAGGACAAAGTAAAATTAAATATAAGTATTAATATGCCATCATAGTCCATTGTTAAATATCAAAATAGGAAACAGGATTGTTGATAAAGAACAGACTATTACACATGATTCAGTTTGCATGAAGAAATAAAACCACAAACCACACAGATTGTTTTAAAATAAAAGGAAATATAGTCAAAAAGGAGAACTATGGGGGACTTAATGATACGTCTGCTCCAGGAGGAGGAAGTA